GATATTTATTTATTTTTATTAAGAACGTTCACACAGTAAGTTTTTTTCGCTCCAATCCTTCTATTTCTTGCATTTTATTCTTTTAATGTTTCTTTTTTTTATGATATTTCAGTCTTCCAGTTGATTTTAAAACATGTAAATTTATTATTTTCATTTATTTTAACTTCTTTGTTCTGTTCCTTATTAACTTTATTTTATTTTACCTTGATTTTATTCTTTAGTTTGTCTTTTGATTTTATTCTTTGGGTTTGTTATCTTGATTTTGTTCCTTGGATTTATCCTTTACTTTAGACTTACTTAGCTTCTTTTAAGAAAAAGATGAAACGTTCAAGACATACCAAATACAATGCAAAGAAACGATTACAAAAGACATCTATGGTACTTTTCATTTTACTTCTAAAAATATAAACAATTCCACTATAATCTAATATCAGAATTTTATAATTAAACAGCAAGTTCAAGATACGAATTCTTCTTCTCAAACAATAGCTTTTGATCTTATAGAGGTATATGATATTATCATTTATAAACTGGATGATTTACTGATCTAGTTTAATATATAAATGAATCAGGATGATGATCCATTTATATACTACTAGATCTAATACTTATATAAATAAGTAATTTAACGAGACAAATTTTTTTTTTTAATTTATAATTAAGCAACAAACTCAAGATGATGTTAGTTCCTCATCTGTTAGTTCCTCCTCGCCTGTTGAAGTAAAAACAAACATATTATTTAATCCTTTTCAGGTATATATTATCTTTGATATGTCATAAAATATAAAATATAAATAAAATAATCTATATTGTATAATTTAAGCATCGAACTCAAGGAGGTTCCAGAGATTTAAGTACCTCAGATATAGTTCGATATATGAAAAATGAATGGTCAAGTGTTCCGCTTTGCGCTTTTTGCCGAATATTTTCTAATGTAACAACAATTTCAATTATGAAAGATATTTCAGTAATGGATTTATTAATTGAATGCTTAATAAGGGAATTAAGACAATCTAAAAATAATAATGATATTCCTTAAATTCCTTTAGAATTTTATAATCTTGCTAAAAGTATTACTGAATCAACTAATGATCAATTAATGAACAATAATAATGATATGTGGATTAAATTTGGTCAATGGTTGGAATTAAAAAAGCCAATTAGTAAAAGTGATGTACATCAACATCTTAAATCACAATGGAAGAGACTTTCACATGCTGCTGAAATTCGAAATTCTAAAGTTTTGGAAATATCCAAAGAAATTTTAGAAATTGAGAAAAAAAAATCAACTATAAATA